ATTACTTTCTTTGCCTATGTCATGACACTGACTAGTTCTATGAATCTTCCCAAGCAGTCATCCATCTAAGTTCTGACCAGGCTCAATGTTGCTTAACTCCAGGGATTGTATGAGAGCCAGTGTTTCATTGTGATAAGGCTGGAAACCAGAGAAATATAATTAGGGAAAGACATAAAAAAACACACATCACACCTCGCCTATATCACCGCAGTATTTGCCTATGTCACAACACTGATGCTGGTTTAAGAAAGTCGAAATCTTAGACTATATTTTCTTGTACTTTGGAAATGAACTTTGGATAATTTCTGACCAAATTTCATTCTTGTCTGAAAAGGATTATTTGTAATTTTGAAAAAGTCAGTGATTAAAATTTTTGTTGTTTTTAATATACATACATACATACATACATATATATATATATATATATATATATATATATATATATATATATATAATTCATCATGTCTAGACCTAAAATCCTCAACACACACATATGCAGAATAACACTGGATGGCCATATAGCCTGACGTGCTTTTACCAATTTCGCCACACAGGAGCGTTCGGTTAGCAAGGTCGATTTTACTGTTTTTGAACTACAATTTTTCATGAACCTCTCATGTACATTCATATCTGCTCATGGCGTATCCAAATGTAAATAAATGACGTCACACATTATGAAATGGACAAAGTCCGACAATTATCTTAAGACATTTTTATATTTATATGATGGTCCTGGATAGGATACAGGTTCGATTCCTGTCGGAAGACGCATATTTTCTATGACAATTTCTCAGACATTCAGGTTGGTAAATGTTGTTAATACAGTTTATTATAAACAGAGCATTTTCTTAAATATTTGTATCTATAAAAAGAATGTACAAACATAAAAATGTCTTAATATATATATATATATATATATATATATATATATATATATATCTCGTATTCAGTTATTTCCCATAACTGATACACACTTGGGTGATCATGTATCTTTCGATACATGACTGACAAGGCGGATATTTTCCCGCAGTAGGTTACCATTTCTTTCTGCGGTAGACCAGTTGCCATCCAAGGCTATAGAACCCAGTCTGTCCTGCTATTTATCCATAGCTGGGAGAAGAAGAGGATTCATACCTTTCTCAAACTTGGCTGTCTGATTCCTCATTCCAAGTTGCTATCCATTACTCCACCATGCATCCACCACTCCACTGTTCATTTGATATAGATACCCCAATGTATGTGCATACAAGTATATATGCATATATATATGTTTTCTTTATCATACCTATATCTGTCTGTCTGTCTGTCTGTCTGTCTCTCTCTCTCTCTCTCTCTCTATATATATATATATATATATATATATTGGGAAAGGTATGAATCCTCTTCCTCTCCCTCCAGCTATGGGTAAAATAGCAGGACAGACTGGGTTCTATAGCCTTGGATGGCAAATGGTCTAGGAGAAGGACAACTCTGAATTCAAAACCTGCAGAGAGTCGTTTGGGGACCTTGTGGCACATAGTGCACCAGGTCTCTGTATTCGTCCCTTCAAAAAGTGTGGATGGTCCTGCACGAAAACTTCACCACTATAATGGAATCTCATGTGCCGGTGTCGGGCTGTCGGTTTCCTGGAAACTAATCTGCTTGACCCTCATACGTCGAATCTCGACGGGAGAGTCGACTATATATATATACATATATATATATATGCATTAATAGGCATAGGTATATCTACCTCCCTATCTATATAAGTATAATATAATTTGTTAAGCTTATATGAATTTATATATGTATGTATATATGCAGACATATATATGGTCAGACCTCCTCATGCACACACAGACACACACACACACACAGATAGATAGATAGAAAGATAGATAGATAGATAGATAGATAGATAGATAGATTTTTTATGTTTAATCATTGTTTCACAATAAAATTGGCAGTAACGAAATGATTCTGCTAAAATCTTATACAATTTCAGTGACCTTTAAATAAACATCATAAAGAACAAAATTGTAATTTGGCTGACGGAATATATGAAAACTGATTTCACCACAGTAATTTTTAAAGATAAATGTACAACTACATTGGATGAACCTGATGGCTTGGGTCTTTCCTAGAAATAGTCGATCAACAAGACTTTGAAGACAATAGAGGGAATATATACTAGGTGCGATGGATAAATTGCCATGTGAGTTACGCAAAAATGAAAATAACACTGCCATCTCATTTTAACACATATATTTACCAAAATTACACAAAAATATCATGAAATACTAAATAGTAAATTTATTTAATAAAATCATCACTGGCTTTAACCATGGCCTCCAGAAAACTTTAGAATTTCCTGCAATATTCTGAATAGTCTCCCTTGTTTAAGTTTCTAAATGCTCCCTTAATCCTTGCCTTCAGTTCATTTCTGGTGTCACAAGGAGTTTTATTGGTTTCTCACCTAACTGTGTCCCATGCATAATAATCAAGAGGGTTGCAGTCAGGGGAGTTAGGTGTCCAGATGTAAGGGGGTGATATGGTTGCAGAAATTGCCTGACAGCCATGAATGGGTTCTCCTACTAATGTGGTATGGTGCAGAGTCCTGTTGCCAGGCATAGGGTCTACCAGCAGCCACCCTCTTGACCCAAAACAGCACTACCTCTTTAACGCATTTGATGTAGGCCTCTGCGTTCAGTCTGAGGCCCTGTAGGAAGATGAATGGCGGCATAATGTTGACATCACTCCTGATCGCTCCAAATCATGATGCTGACTGGATATTTAGTTTTCGTTCTCTCTATTCTCTGCATTGTCCTTAAATTGACAACCAATCACTCTGAAATGTTTGTATTAGAGCTTCTGGCATGAATGCCAAGCAGTACAGAATACTGTTTCCAAATTTCTGGCAGAGTGAATTGCATCATGGTTCTCACAGATGGTGTCCAACTGATCCTACTATATTGTGCAGTCGACAAAATCAAAAACAAACAGCACACATGCATGAAATTAAAAATATAAAATGGCGACAATTTACCTATCGCACCCTGCATATATATATATATATATATATATATATATATAGTTGTGTATCGGTATGTCAATAAGTGGATATGCAGATAGTGTGAATGGATATAAGTGCGAAAAAATACAAATTTAAGAGCAAAATTCAGTTGCATTTCATTCCAAGCAAGGCAATAAGACCACTAAGATGCAAGGGGCTACTGATTGTGAAAGTTGGCAAATGCTGCCATAATCCTTGCCTTCACTTCATCTTTGGTGTTACAAGGAAATTTGTTGGTCCCTCACTTAACAGTGCCCCACACATAATAATGAAAGGGGGTTGCAGTCTGGGGAGTTAGGTGGTCAGATGCAGGGGGTGATATAGTTGCAGAAAATGTGTGACAGTCATGACTGGGTTCTCTTGCTTGTGGCATGGTGCAGAGTCCTTTTGCAAGACATATGGTCTTCAGTAGCCACCTTCTTGACCCCAGGCAACACTTCCTCCTCAAGGCATGATGTAGACCTTCGTGTTTGTTTATTCATTCCTGATTGACTTTATTCTTTCTTTCTAATGCTTTCCAACTTCTCTATTAAAAAGAAACGACAGAATTTCTAAAACTCATTCAATTGTTGTGGGGCCCAAATGTCGATGTTAGCCAAACCCTGCAAACATTAAAATTGAAGAAGTGACACAGGATAATGAGAACAAGAAGTTTAGATAAAATCTGCCAAAATTTATTATTGGAAGGAAAAGAAAAATATAATTGAGAATCTAGACATTTTATAACCCTGGGTGGTCATGCTGGTAGTTGACTGTTGGTCTTAGATGCATCAATAGTTGATGATGATTGGAGCAAGAGTGGTGCCGAAGGTTGAGAAACGGTTAGTGTATTGAGTTGGTACTGGCTGGCAGTAGTAGCCTAGGGAGGACAGTTGTTGATAACCAGAAAATGAAGTTGAAACCACTTAAGAAGTGTTGGAGGACGATAGGCAGTCAGCAATGGTCAATAGACAGATGACATGTTGAGCAGGCAGTCTTAGCCAAGGGTAGGCAGTCGAAACCATGGTTATCCACAAGAGGATGGGCAGCAAGGAGTAAAACCTGAATCGTCAGTGGGAATCAGTCGGTCGCTGGTGATCGTTGATGATCACTCGTGGCTGCTGGTCTGGATAATACGCAATCATCATCATCATCTTCTTCTCCCCTGCCCCCCCCTCGACAGTAATTATTAGGTTGGTGCAAAAATAATGTCGTTTTTGACGTTCAACTTAACGTCAAAAAACGACATTATTTTTGCACCAACCTAATACCTTTGACACCCCACTGTGTCAGAATGTGACACAAGGTTACTTTGTTTTAATGCGGGGCAATCTGAGTGTCTCCACTCGGGACACTGGTCAATTTCCGTTCTTAGCTAGTCATAGCTTTTCTTAGTTAGTCATAGCCATCAAAAAAACATGCTATGTAATAGATCCAAGGATTCTGTCCAAACAGCGGAAGGCAGATTTGGGGGCAGACCTGGCCTGGGACAAATCCTATAACAGCATCTCCACTACCCAAGAATTTTCTTTTTCCCTTGTCAATATTTACCTTTGACTCCCCACTGAATCAGGATGTGACACAAGATCATTCTTAACATGGGGAACCCAAGGATCTCCACTCAGGCCACTGGTAAATTTATGGTCTTAGCTTGTCTTAGCTAGTCATAGCCATCAAAATCCATGCTATAGAACAAGGATTCTGTCGCAGCAGCTCGGACCCAGAATGAAACAGATACTATAACAGTATCTCCACTACCCAAAGAATTTCTTCTCCTGCCTGTCAGTATTTATGTTTGACTCCCCACTGAGTCAGAATGCAATACAAGGTCAGTTTGTCTTAAAATGGGGAACCAAGCATCTCGACTTGAGCCACTGGTCAATTTATGGTCTTAGCTTATCTTAGCTATCAAAAACGATGCTATGGAACAGATCTGAGGATTCTGTCCAAGCAGTGGAGGACGACCTAACACGAAACAGATACTACAACACCATCTCCTCCGCCCCAGATTTTTCTTCTCCTCTCATCACTATTTGCCTTTAACTCCCCACTGAGTGAGAATGCGACACGAGGTCAGTTTGTTTTAACGTTGGGAATCCAAGTGTCTCCACTTTGGCCACTGGTTAATTTCTTAGTTTGTCTTAGCTAGTCATGGCCAGTCAAAAACCATGCTACAGAACAAATCCGAGGATTCTGTCCAAGCAGTGGGGATAGGAGGGAGAACCCAGAATGGAACAGATACTACAACAGCATCACCTCTGCCTAAGATTTTTTTCTCCTACCCCATCCAAGAAGCGGCTAGTCACTGCTGGTTTTATAACATTGGAGTGTTACAACAGTACAGGTTTTGACTCTATTTCCGGTTATAGATGAAAATCATAAAAATAACTCTAGGTTATGACGTATAATGTAATTAGTAATAAAACTACAAAGAGGAAAGAAATACTATTGGTTTTGGATAACCAGCATAAAATGTTTCTGGAATGATGTACAGAATTAATAAACTCAAACCGTTCAAGGTTAAATTGAAAAAGTCCATTTGCTGAAAGAAAAGTAACAGAGTAACATGTTGTTATGATACAATCAATAAAAGTAAATATAATCTCATTAAAATATTTATATTAACTGAAGACTTTTGGGAAAACTACCAATAAAATTAGAAAAGTCCCATCAGATTAAAAGAAGAATTTCTTTTTTTAAATATATTTTCATAGTGTTGACTATAAAATTAAAAAAAAACAAAACAAACTAATCATTGGATTTGTGATTATCACAAACTAAGTTAAGATCTATTCAATCGAATCAGTTAAAAATAAAATCTTTTGTATTCAAAATGATTGGAGGAGACCAGTAAGAATTTTTCATTCTTGCTTTTTCATGTCTAACATCAAAATGGAGTCTTTTACAGTTACAATTTCTTTTTTTTAAATACTTAAAATCATTGGCAAAAGATAAATTTATGTAAAACCACTAGAATCTTATTCATTTATAGATTAAAACATGACAACTTTGGTACAAGAACAAAAATTATAAATAAAAATTGTTAAAAAGACGAATGCAAATTTCTGTGAATAGCTGAATGATAAACCCATATTCAGTTGCTCAATCATGCAAATGACAGTGAAATCAGAAAAGTGAAGAAAAAAATTTAAAAATCTATGTAAAGCAAAACTTGGTAAAGCAAACAAATTAGATAGAGTCAAATTATAGCTGCCATGTTATTAGAACAGATTCTATTAATTAAGCAGTCTCAGGCAAAATAAAAACCTCTTATTGAAAATGATTAATAAGATACAATATTCCTGCCAACTTAAAATAAAACCTAATTAACTTATAATTTACAGAGAAAGAAAAATATTAGACAACTTTTAAAATAGATATCAAATTTGTCTATATTTCTGAAATGAGGTTTTGTAACTATCTACATGATTTACATTGCTCAAACTGTTGTCCTTATTTTTATTGTCATATTCATAACGTTTCAGCCATTGTACACTCAAACTTTCATCAGGTGAAATAGGTTGGAATTTTGAACCGAATCAACTTTCTGTATTTCTGAGATGAGGTATTGTAACTATTTAAACTATTTACATTGTCTGGACTGTTGTTCTCATCTTTATTCATGATGGTTCGGCCGTTGTATGCTCCAGCCTTCTTCAGGTGAAATAGGTTGAAATTTTGAATCGAATCATCTGTCTATATTTCTGAGATGAGGTATTGTAACTATTTACACTATTTACATTGTTCGAGCTGTTGTCCTCATCTTTATTGTCATATTCACAGCATTTCAGCCATTGTACGTTCGGACCTTCTTCAGGCGATATATATTAGAATTTCAAACTGAACCATCTGTTTATACTTCTGAGTAAATGCTAGTGGCATGCCACCCAATG